GCACAAAGGGAGGCCAGGGACTACTTTACCCCACGACAGGGCTTGCAGCACCTGCCTGCCTCCCCATCCTAAACACGTTCTCCCTGCCCAGCTGGCCACCCGTCCGTGAAGCTCCCAGGGCCGGCCCGGGGCTGCTCTGGCCAGCCCAGGGCTGCAGTCAGCCATGGGCTGGGATCGAGCTGGCGCGGCCCGGGGCAGGAGAATGGGATCGAGACCTGCGCGCAGGTGGGTTAACAGACTAATACTTACCAGTTAACCATTTAATATTTTACATCCCTAATCAGCACCTACTAAAAAATATACCATTTACTTTTTACTGTTGATGTAAAAGGATTATTTAGTTTTCTTATCTTACAATTTTTGACAAACAAGATATATTAAGAAAAAAGGAAAATGAAAATAAAAAGCCTTTTGCATTCCTTAGAAACACAAAGCATATTATAACATATTCAACATTTCAGCTTCCACATTGCAATGTCATTGTGCTATATAAATGTCGTAGTAACACTTTCTTGCTCACTCACTCAATTTAATTATCTAATGAACTTAGTGAAAGTGTTAAGTATATTTTCTTTGAGAATACATTTCAAGTTATATTTTATATCACTTCATTTGCTACATCTCTAATGAAATAAGAAACAGTAATATAGCATCTATTAGTTATTTCTAATGCACCCATCACTGTGATATCTGGCCCCATTAATATCATTGTGGCTAATATTGACAACATTATTAAAAGCAACTAATGATCATTTCAAGAATTTCAGAAATTTACCATAATAAAAGTTTACAGTGATCTTGGAAAGCAATACACCCATAGAATGGTTCACTCTTCACAATTTCCACTGAGCAAGAGTTACCAAGGGGGATTCTTATTTTATGACAGCATCAATCTCCCTGTTATTTTTCTTCAGTTGCTGCTTGGACAATAGATCTTTTCATTAAACTTGTTCTTTTGGGGCAGATACATCTGCACTCTCCGGTTATGGATCTGTTCTAGACATCAGAGTTTCAAAATTACCAGAATAGTAGCACTGTGGTGCTGAGAAATTTAGTTTTGTCCACTCTGAAAAGGCACTATATTTGTAAAGTGCATATTATGTGACATATAATACAAGTTGGCTGTTCAGTTTTGTCTCCTAAAGTACAGCTACTTAGTTACAAACTGAAGGCTCTATTTAAAAAAAACAAAACAGGCATGCTATCTTATCCATACTGACCCCTATGCTGCTAAGTCAGGTTGAAGAAAGGGTGAACTGAACACCACCATCTGCCTAAAACAAAATGTTCAGGATATGAAGTAGTGCATTCCAGATACTCCTTATTTATAATGTAAACAAAGTTGAATTGTGAGCATGCCTTATCAATTAAAATAATCTGTCATTAGTGGTCTGATTATATGTGAAATAGTGGCAGTTGGTGTTTTCTCCTCACCTGAGTAGAGTGTACCAATCATACTAGATTCTTTATATCTGATTAGTCTTCCTCTAGTTTGTATAAGCTGCCTAAAATATCCCTTACTATTATATTCTTCGGCCTCAGTCCTGCACACACTTAAGCATGCATTATACTTTACTAATGAGTAGTCCTACTGAAGTCAATGGAACTACTTATAGAAGTAGTTAAGCATGTGCATATCTGCACGATTAGGGCCTTAATTGCAGCCTCACATAACCAGCCTAATGTTGTATTTTCTTTATTAAAAACTTAACATCGAAGTACATCAGATTTAGTTTTAATAATTTTTTATAATCTATATATATATACCCACATACACACAATTATATATTATATAAAACCAAATTTTAAAAATCTAGATTTTAAAACACACGTTTGAAGGAAATAGTATGGAATATGATTAAAGCTGTTTTTGGTTTCAAAGATTTCAGTTTTCATAGAAAAATCATATGCATGTCTCACTGTGCCCATTATTAGAGTTCCTTATCCCTAGACGTGTTGGGATTTGTTAAAACTATGCCTTCTATTTTAGTGTTCCTTATTAGGGCAGGCATACCAAATCCCATATGATTTTTTTTCCAATCTCTCAAGCTAAACAGAGTCAGGCCTGTTCACTTCTTGAATGGTGGCCTAAGAAGAAAAGCCAAATGCTTCAGAAAGTGCTTTGTAAATCAGTAGGTTGCATTCTTCCCCTCTGAGTTAACACTAACCTAATGTCCAGCATCATGTTAGGGGTCAGTATGATACTGAAATGCAGTCTTCTAAAACTGAGATCCTGACCATTTGTGGTCACTGAAGATCCCAGAACAATTTTCATGAGGCTAGAGAGTATCATCAACTGGCTAATTTCCAGATTAACTAAATATATTCTACTTAATTTATATTCCCCTGCCATTTCAACTGGCTACAGTGTTCTCCAGAACTATTTTTTGTCTTGTCAAAACAGTTCCTATGTTTTACCCCAGAGGTGGCCACGATTCAGCGATGAGCCATTTGTAAAGAGTTTAAGGATAATATATAACTGTAAGATATCATATATACTTTTGGGCAACTATTAAACAGTTATTGTGAGGTCAAATTTGCCCCCAAATTTACATCAGTAAGTAGTAGTAGTAAAAACAAGTTTTTACAAAACCTAAGACCAACGTAAATGTTAAATGTTACATAAGATACTGAAGTACGTGAATGGCCCCATAGAACTGGGCGCTTAGTCTTACATAATTCATAATCATATTGACTATAGGATAGGATATGGAGTCACTTCACCCACCACTGAACTGTAGCTATCTGTGTGGTGGCAGGAGTGTCAGTTAGTTGTTTGACAGCACAAGAAAATGAAGAAATCCACTTATGTGCCTGCTCTGGTAAAATACATTCCTCTCCTCTTCACTCCTCAATATTAAACAACACAGTTAATACTAGAACTTAAAAATCTGTGGCTACTCAGGACTTCATAGTTGTCATAATTCTCTGCACCATGACCACTCAGAACTTTACAGCGGAAACTGGGGACATAACTCAGATTCTCCTACTCCAAAAGCATAGGCCCCTACCACCTGCGTTCAAAGGAGTATCTCCTTTAGCTACAGTATAGTGTTTATGACACACCATTGAGCTGTTCTGAGACTGTGCAGGAGAAAGCAGTGAGGCCCATACACATTAGCTCTTTCATTACATACAAAATACAGTTATAAATATAAAACAGAGGTTGCTAATGGTGTTTTCACATTTACTCCCCGCAGCAGCACCTGGGCTGGAGGGGAGAGGCGCCTCTCCCGGCTGCAGCAGCTCTGGGTCTGAGGCAGCAGGTCTGGGGCTGGGTTGGGGCCGGGTGAGGGGCGCCTCTCCCCCAGACATGGCAGGTTTGGGCCTGGGGGAGAGGCATCTCTCACCAATATGGAGGTGATGTGTGACACACAACAAAATTCATGTGGGAGGGGTGGGGCTGAAGGGTTTGGAGTGTGGGAGGGGGCTCAGGGCTGGGGAAGAGGATTGGGGTCCGGGGGTGAGGGCTCTGGCTGGGGGTGTAGGCTCTAGGTGGGGATGTGGTCTCTATGGGGGATTCAGTGTGACTATTTTTTACTGCCCTATAGTACCTAAGTATAGTAGCAAGGATTTGGTTGTCTATAAGAGAGGCAGGGCAGGTAGCTCTTTCAAGCCAGAACTCTAAGCACCAATTAATCTTCTTGACTCCTCTATAAAAAGGTTTGACAGAATGTGAGGGTTTCTTTTATTTCTAATTTCAGTTGATAATCTCAATGTTTATTTTTAAGCATTCTTTTCTGTTTTTATTGATGTACACGTTCACAATTGCCCCAAAGTTTGGGTTTTAAGCATTTTTTCTATTTTTATCCATTTAAATTTTCACAGTTGTGGGAAAGTAGGGGCAGGTGTCAGATGCTGGGAGAAGCAGATAGTTATTTAATGACAGTAGAGGTTGAGATTCAAAAAGCTAAAGCTTTATAACCATTACAACACAAATTGTCCACATCACATGTCAAAAGATACACAGTAAATATCCTTAAATCCAACTCTAAGAAGTTCTCAAGCAGCATTTTTCTTTCTTTGCCTCTGTAAATTTCAAGTATCCTCAAGGGAACTATTATTTCACCAGCTGGTGTATGCACCGATACAAGCTAATGCTGCCAAGCCCAGCTATGCATCTGGAGAGTACATCTCAAACCCCAGCGCTGGAACTGGGTAGCGGCTGTAGACTTCAGACAGGGAGCTAGATCTCCCAAACTGCCCCGATCCCCGCCCGCTCAGGAGCTGTTCGGTTCCAGCCCTGCTCTGACCCAGCCACACCTGTAGCCCAGCGGGCTCCGCAGCTCTGCGCTCTGGCGGGGCGCTGTGCCCCAAGGCTTGCTCGTGCCCGTCGGGGAAGGGCATGGGGGAGCCGCGCAGGTCCCCGCGCAGCCGGGCTCTACCCGCGGAGCGTTGTGCTGTCAGGGTGCAGCGGGGCAGAGACGGCGCTTACCTGCGGCGCTGGCCCGGCGGCTGCTGCCCGCGAGCCCGGGCAGGCTGAGGGCGAAAGCCGGGGCGCTCCGCACAGAGCCGACGAGCGCCCTCCGGGGAGCGCGGCAGGCCGGGGAAGAGCCGCCCGCCGCTGTGGGCGGGGGCCAGGACGGCTCTGTCTGCGCGCACGCGGGGGCGCTCGGCTGACTGGGGCGGGGGGGACGCGCGGGCGGGTGCCTCGCTCGGAAGCGGCGGGGGGAGCGGGGGCGCCCGGTTTCGAAGCTAGACTCGGCTCATCTCCTCCCGGGCTCGCCGCGGGGGAAGAGCCCCACACCCTTGTGCCGGCCGGGGGAGGAAGGAGACACTGCCCCCCCCCGACACGCGTGAGGCCAACTGAGGCCCGGCCGAACGTGCTCCCAGAGCCAGTCCCTCAGCGGGTGCCGGGAGAGCCCCTGGGGCCGCCGCCCCTGCAGGAGGGCCCCGGGACTCCCCTGCTTGACCCCGGGCTAGCGCAGCTGCCAGCTCGGCTCCTGGAAGATGCCTCCGCCCCCCGCCGTACCCCCACCCCGTTATTGCGTGTCTCAGACCTGGCTCTGCTGAGGAACGTGCTTTCTGCACAGCAGAGGCTGGGGGGAGTTCCTGTCGCGGCTCCTTGCGATCCAAGGCAGGAGAGGCTTTCCCGGCCACAGGGAATCTCCTCTCAGGAGCGGGGCAGGGAGCCTCAGCTCGTCGTGGAAACTGGGAGCGGTTTGGTTTTCCCGGGCACCAGAAGTTCAGTCCAGGATCAGCAGCATCCTTCTTCTCCCAGCCTCTGATCTGAGCGTCAGCCATTGGCACCAGGCCGGCGCAGTTAGTGATTCCTTGCCAGGGAAATCCACCAAAGGAAACGTTGGGAAATGGAAATCCCATTCCCCACACGAAGCACCTCTAGGGCTAAAGCAAACCGTCCCCAGTGAATCATGCGGTCTTCCTGCCCTCAGACGTGGTTTCTCTGTCTGCATGGAGGCTGTGGGAGTTTCTGTAGGGGAAGCAGATTGCAGACCTAGTAAAGTAAAGGGATCAGATGGGGTAAGGATTGTTTATTAGTTAACACTGGAGTGAAGCCTGCTAAATAATAAATTGCTTAGATGGAAAAATCTGGACATGGGCTTTATAGCAACAGCTACAACTTTGTTATGCAAGAAAAGACTTGAGTCACTACCTTTGTTAGTCCAAATAACTTGTGATTTCTTCCTTCTGGCACACAGAGGGCCTAAGGGGCTCACGTCCAATTGGCAAGAGGGCAAGCTATCCATTCTACCACTACCAGGTAGGAAGCTCTAAGCAGAGCGCTGCAATTTTAGGTTACAAAAAGCACACATGAATTGTTGAGTTCAAACACTTAGAAAATTTGTCTGTGCTTTCAACAGTTACTTAAGGGTAGGCACATGTTTTTAATCATAAAAGCTACTTTCAGTGAAAGATTTGTAGGAGAAACAACTCACAGCCTCTAAGGTATGCAAAGGAAATGGATCCTAAGTGCATCACTCTGCACCCAGGAACTACAACTGGGAGACCCTAACATGGAAACATGAAAAGAAATATCTTTCTTTCAGAGTTGGCTGTTGTGATAGACCCAGTAACAAATGACAGAGGCAAATAGAATAGAAAAGACAAGACCCTGATCTATAGAAATGGGGCACAAACCATCTGTAAGTCTCAAACTGAAGGGGAGAGCCAAATCACTGGGGCTTTAGTCTTGCCTCTATCCAAAGGGAACAACAAAATAAAAGTGAACATTTAAAGTAATAGTTGATCAATCTCATCACTTTAAAAATAAATTCTGAGCAGTTACTATTGAGTTCTGTTTCATTACCATCAGTATTTATTTGTACCAGTATTTTCCCCAGGAATTGAAATTTGGGAGGAAGGGAGTTTGAATTTACAGGAGAGGTGATGGCTGGGGGGTGAGACCATGAGGGCGAAGGTGGGATGTATGGCACCATAGTAAAAGCTGAAAAATGTTTCAGGACCATTTAATTAGATTTAACTCATGTTTTAAAATAATCATACAAATTAAAGTTGGATACTCAAGCCTTCTATGAAGCACTACATCTACATCCTTGTTGGTTTCTTGCTGTAATTTTTCACAGCTCTGTTAATGAACTTTTTGAATGTAGTGCATTCATCTTTGATAACTTCTTGTGTGTCCAGTACTTCCAACTCCTTCAATTGATATGCTAATGAGTTCATTCACATGATCAGGCAGAAGGCAATTTCTTTCAGAACACAAAATTCTATTCCAGGATGAAAAACTAACACTCAACTATAGCTGTTGTGACTGGGAAAGAAATGAATTCCTACTTCTTTCATCCCAGGAAACAGCACAAAGATCAGGTCGAGCCTCTGGTGATGATAAAAAAGAAGTTGAAGTCAAATCTTCATTCATTCATTCATTGTATGATATTGCATTCTGTGTTCAAATTCTCTATTCTGTCCTGATCACATGGCAGCTCCATTGCTGATAGTGCCTCACTCCACTCAACTGTCACTGTTGTAGATTTGTAAGAATCAAGTCTGTGTACTTTTTCAGCTGGTTTAACAAACACTTCTTGTTCTCTTCACTTAAGGATTCAATATAAGTGCCTTCATTAGTCAACTTCTGGACTGAAGTCTTTGATTCTTCCAGTACGTTTTCAATGGACAGCTCTCTGATCCAAGTGTAGCTTCCATTGCTGGACAAACTACTACTATTGCAGATGCCTTGATGGCATTGTTTAATGATCCAAGTGGTTTCAACACTAGACTTACACGAGAGAGAATGGCGATTATCTTCTCTGAATGTAGTAGCAAAAGTAGTCCACCCGCCTCACTACTTAGATCTATTCCATCTTGGTAGATATTTTCCAAAATCACGAATAACAGTTGCAGTAATTTTAAGACAACATCCAAGGATCACTCATGAGAAAGCCAGCAGGTTTTCCCAGGTTGGACTAATTTGACCTTCAGTCCCAAAGTATCTTCTATTTTTTCCAAGACATTCAGGTTTTTTTGGACTCTTGTTGAAAAAAAGACATTAAATGTATGGCTTTTTAAATGTCTTTTGAAGATTCTGCATCTTGTACTAGTGCTAGCTGAATAGATCATAGAGAATCACAGGACTAGAAGGGACCTTGAGAGGTCTTCTAGTCCAGGGGTTCTCAACCTTTTTCTTTCTGAGCCCCCACCCCACCCCCAACATGCTATAAAAACTCCATGGCCCAGCCATGCCACAACTGTTTTTCTGAGTATAAAAGCCAGGGCCAGTGTTAGGGGGTAGCAAGCATTGCAATTGCCTGGGGCTCCACACCATAGGGGGCACCATGAAACTAAGTTGCTCAGGCTTCAGCTTCAGCCCTGGGGGGTGGGGTTCAGGGCCCCGGGCTACAGTCCCACATGGCGGGACTTCAGCTTTCTGCCCTGGGCCCTAGCAAGTCTAATGCCAGCCATGCTTGTCGGACCCCCTGAAACCTGCTTGCGGCCTCCCAGGGGTCCCCGGGCCCCTGGTTGAGAACCACTGTTCTAGTCCAGTCCCCTGCACTTAAGGCAGGACTAAGTATTATTCTGTATCAGTATTATAAGTATCCCTGAAATGTGATTGTCTAACCTGCTCTTAAAAACCTCCAATGACGTAGATTCCACAACCTCCCTAGGCAATTTATTCCAGTGCTTAACTACCCTGACAGGAAGTTTTTCCTAATGTCCAACCTAAACCTCCCTTGCTGCAATTTAAGACCAGTGCTTTTTGTCCTATCATCAGATGTTAACAAGGACATTTTTTCTCCCTCTTTCTTGTAACAACCTTTTATGTACTTGAAAACTGTTATGTCACCACTCAGTCTTCTCTTCTTCAGGCTAAACAAGCCCAAATCTTTTTCCTCATAGGTCATGTTTTTTAGACCTTTAATCATTTTTGTTGCTCTCCTCTGGACTTTCTCCAATTTGTACACATCTTTTCTGAAATGTGGCACACAGAATTGGACACAATACTCCAGTTGAGACTGTATCACCACAGAGTAGAGCAGAAGAATTACTTCTTGTGTCTTGCTTACAACACTCCTGCAAATACATCCCAGAATGATATTTGCTTTTTTTGCAAGTGTTCCACTCTTGACTCATATTTAGCTTGTGATCCTCTATGACTCCTGTGACGTTGCAGTCTATATGGTTTTATAAAAATATGCTAATAAGTGAATATAATGTAACTGGAATATGCTTCATGCAAAAGGTCTCTTGTAAGGTATTATTACAAAGCTTATAATCTACTAAGTGTAATTATCCTATTTGTATAAATGTACCACTCATATTTCTAGTTTCAGATACAAGAAATATAACTTTGAGGCCTCTTGTAATTATGCAAAGTGTGGGCCATTAATGGTGGTTTGGAATCTTGATGACTCCCATTAACCAGATTAATTGTCTGTAGATGGGTGTGTTTTACCTGTAAATCTTCCTGTATATGTGTGTGCTGGCAAGTGGGCAATGAAGTCTTGCAGTGACGTGATCATGTCACCTGAACTGGAATCCATCTTTAACCTGGTGTCTTTCCATTGAGAAGGTGTGGCGGGGTTGGGAACCCAGAGAGGGACAAAGGATTCCCGCCTTATGCAAAAGATATATAAAGGGGAGAGGAGCCATCATGAAGAATCCCATAGCTACCACCTGAGCTGGAACAAGAGCTGTACCAGGGGAAAGAATTGTGCCCAGGCCTGGAAGGTGTCCAGTCTGAGGAAAAAACTTACTGAAGCATCTCTGAGGATAAGATTATCTGTATTCAGTTTAATTAGACATAGATTTGCGCATTTTATTTTGCTTGGTGACTTACTTTGTTCTGTCTGTTACTACTTGGAACCACTTAAATCCTACTTTCTGTATTAAATAAAATCACTTTTTACTTATTAATTAACTTAGAGTATGTATTAATATCTGGGGGAGCAAACAACTGTGCATATCTCTCTATCAGTGTTATAGAGGGTGAACAATTTTTGAGTTTATAAGCTTTATACAGGGTAAAATGGATTTATTTGGGTTTAGACCCCATTGGGAGTTGGACATCTGAATGTTAAAGACAGGAACACTTCTGTTAGCTGCTTTCAGGTAAACCTGCAGCTTTGGGGCAAGTAATTCAGACCCTGGGTCTTTGTTGGAGCAGACGGGAGTGTCTGGCTCAGCAAGACAGGGTGCTGGGGCCCTGAGCTGGCAGGGGTAGAAGTAGTCTTGGCACATCGGGTGGCAGCTCCCAAGAGGGTTCCTGTGATCCAACCCATCACTCCCAGATTCCTTTCCACAGTACTCCTTCCTAGGCAGTCATTTCCCATTTTGTATGTGTGCAATTGATTGTTGCTTTCTAAATGGAGTACTTTTCATTTATCCTTATTGAATTTCATCCTATCCTCCAAAGCGTAGGCGCCAACTCCGTGGGTGCTCTGGGGCTGGAGCACACAGCTGCCCGTGGCCCCGCCCCCCTGCTCCAGCTTACCTTTGCCTCCGCCTCCCCCCTTCCTCCCAGCGTTTGCGCTGCGACACAGCCGATTTAGGGCAGGGACTTTGCGGATGGGGTTGGAATGGGGGCGGGGCCAGGGATGGGGTGGAGTCAGGGCGGGACCAGGGGCGGAGAAAGGGGCGGGGGGTGCGGGCAGCCAACAGTGCCAAGAAAGTTGGCGTCTATGCTCCAAAGCACTTGCAATCCCTCCCAGCTTGGTATTGTCTGCAAACTTTATAAGTGTACTCTCTGTGCCATTATCTATCTAAATCGTTAATGAAGATATTGAACAGAACTGGACCTAGGACCAATCCCTGCGGGATCCCACTTGATATGCCCTTCCAGCTTGACTATGAACCACGGATACCTACTCTCTGGGAATGGTTTTCCAACCAGTTATGCACCCACCTTATAGTAGCTCCATCTAGGTTCTATTTCCCTAGTTTGGTTTGAGAAGATCATGCGAGACAGTATCAAAAGCCTTAACAAAGTCAAG